TGTTTTTTTGAGCTCAAATGAAAGAGCGGGTCGAGAAATGGCGTGCAAGGTCCTCTAAAGATGGTCTTGAGCCAGGAGAGACTCCTCCACCCCAATGTTCAATGTTGTCACAATTGCGCTTTTCAATCGAAAACAGACATCATCTTTAGAGAGATTTGTCATCTTTAAAGACTTCTGCACGCCATTTCTCGACCCGCTCTTTCATTTGAGCTCAAAAAAACATTCATATCTTGTCTGACATCGCTGCTACAAACTCGGGCCTACAACTCGGGCCTTCAATTGAAGGCCCGAGTTGTAGGCCCGAGTTTGTAGCAGCGATGTCAGACAAGATATGAATGTTTTTTTGAGCTCAAANAGACAAGATATGAATGTTTTTTTGGGCTCAAATGAAAGAGCGGTTCGAGAAATGGCGTGCTAGGGCCTCTAAACATGACAAATGTTTCTAAAGATGATGTCTGTTTTCAATTGAAAAGCAGAGTTGTGACAATATTGTCTAGTAGGGCAATGGGGTCTAGGAGTGTGTATAGAACATTGGGGTGGAGGAGTCTCCCCTGGCTCAAGACCATCTTTAGAGGCCTTGCACGCCATTTCTCGACCCGCTCTTTCATTTGAGCCCAAAAAAACATTGATATCTTGTCTGACATCTTTGCTACAAACTCGGGCCTTCAACTCGGGCTTTCAATTCAAGGCCCGAGTTGTAGACCCGAGTTTGTAGCAGCTTCAAATTTATCCAACACACAATTGAGGATAAACCATTTGGGACGCAACAGATAGTTCTCCCAATTTATTCAATTTATGCCTTTCTCGCCCCCCCCCCCCCTGTAGGAATCGAGGTTGTTGAGTGATGTAACGATTCACTACTAAACAATTAGTTGGCTTAATTGTCGTTTATTCAATCACGTCTAGAAATATATATACAAAAGTAGAGAGCAAGTCAGGTGGTTGACTTGTAGAGTAATAGGCGGTTAGCGCCAGACTGAATATAATATTCGCAAACGGCGAGAATTCGGATACGCGTTACAACAGGTGCGAGAGAGAAGTATACATTTTATTCGCACGTGACAGGGAGTGATGATGTCACTGATGTCCTATCGTCTCAACTACGCACGTTGTCGTGTCCGCGTACTAATGTATAAATGTGTATGTAGCGTGGCGTTACACCCCCTCCCATGGCATTTTAAGTGTTATGCTTTTTCGCTCGGGTATATATGACATGTACGCCGTATTGAAGGGACTGAAACTGTATTCTATTCAGTAAATAAATGAAGAAAATTTATAATTTAATATTGAATCGAGTATGGTGAATCAAATATTATCTGTTTTACAGCAAATGACGAACATAGTAAACTGGTTCAGTCATTTAGCTGGAAGACTGATGGGTCCCTCGTAGCCACCTCGAGCAGGGACAGGTGCGTCCGTATTTTTGACGTACGAGTGCCGCAGCCAGTAGTGAATTCCTGTTCAAGCCATCCAAATCCTAAAGACTCCCGCATTGTCTGGCTGGGCAGTACTTACAGCATCCTCACGACTGGCTTCAACAATGAGAGCATGCGTCAAATATACATAAGGGACGTGAGAAACTTTACCTATCCCACCTATAGTTTAGAGCTAGAGGCGAGCCCTGGGGTTCTAATACCGTTGTTTGACCCAGATACCTCTATGTTGTTTCTTGCTGGCAAGGGAGATGTCACCGTTCGCTCCATGGTGGTAGCCGAAACAGATCCGTTCTTGATCGAGGGCATACACCACACAGGCAATCAGTCGATAAGTGTCTCCTTGGTTCCGAAACTCGCACTTGATGTGATGCGCGGTGAGGTCAATCGCATTTTACAATTGACCTCAAATATGGTGATCCCTATCACCTATCAAGTGCTGAGAAAGGTATGAAATAATCATCTTCTAATTGAACATTCATCGATTTTACTTCTCTTAAATTATTCAAGAGAGAGATTTCTGATCGTCAATAACTCTTTTTCATTTTTTTTATCGTTATTTTACATCGCTTCGACCCGGTTAGGTAATACTGCGATAATGATCAAAACTTTAAATGGTTAGTTCGCACCATTCTACCCGGCCGGGATTTGAACTCAACCTTTCGCATATGAGGCAACGAACTTATCGATTGCGCCAAGCCACCGGACAACTCTTTTTCATTATCAATTCATTTTCTCAGACTTCCGTATGAAAATTTAGTCAGAAAATACCGGTTATTTAAGACGATTCGGTTCAACTTACTCTCTTTTGAATCAATTTGACGTAATTTCAAAGTTTGAGTTGTTTGTTTGAACAATGCCCTTCATTATTCAATGGATTCTTACATTAATTCCCTTCATTCTCCCATTGCAGACGTATCACCAATTCCATGCGGACATTTTCCCCCCAACCCCAGGTTGTATAGCGAACAACACAGCCGAAAAATGGATCCAAGGAAACGATGCCCCTGTGCCAAAGATCTCTTTGGATCCTTCTAAACGCGCTGGAGGAATGAAGAAAACAGAGGTAAGTAGCAATTGCATCTCGCCATCACTACAACTTCTCATATTTATTAGATATATTCACTGCAGTTTCTAATATTATCCAATGTATTATTCCTGTAGAAAACGTATCAAATTCTATTGATTTTGTATATGGCATAATCTCTATTGGACATTTTCTATATAAAACAAAACGCGAAGTAGAGCTTTGGAATTATGAATTATAAGATTTAATAGAAGCCGAGTAGAAGTCCAATGAAATGCAATCAAACTTGCGAAAGTTTTTCTATGAAATTTTTTCAACATCATTTTATTTGTTTGAAAATGAATAGGAGCATCTCCTTCCCTGCCAAATGCCGACTGCGTCGACTAGTGGAGTGCAGCCAACTAAGAGCAGCTTCACTAGCGACGATATTACACAGCCTGTTGAGGCTAGTGTTAACACAGCTATTGAGGCTAACCTCAGCAAAATTGTTGAGGCTAGTGTCAGTAGAGCCGTGGAAGTTAGCGTCAACAGGGCTATGGAGGCTAGTTTCAAGGCGCTTGAGGCTAGCATCAATAGGACTGTTGAGGCTACTATCATCCGGACTGTCGAGGCTAATGTCAACAGAGCTGTGGAGGCTAACGTCAACAGGGCTATGGAGGCTAGTATCAACAGAGCTGTTGAGGCTAGCGTCAATAGGACTGTCGAGGCTAGTATCAACAGGGCTGTGGAGGCTAACTTCAACAGGGCTATGGAGGCTAGTATCAACAGAGCTGTTGAGGCTAGCGTCAATAGGACTGTCGAGGCTAGTATCAACAGGGCTGTGGAGGCTAACTTCAACAGGGCTATGGAGGCTAGTATCAACAGAGCTGTTGAGGCTAGCGTCAATAGGACTGTCGAGGCTAGTATCAACAGGGCTGTGGAGGCTAACTTCAACAGGGCTATGGAGGCTAGTATCAACAGAGCTGTTGAGGCTAGCGTCAATAGGACTGTTGAGGCTAGTATCAGTCGGACTGTCGAGGCTAGTATCAACAGAGCTGTGGAGGCTAACATCAACAGGGCTGTTGCGGAAAACATCAGCAGAACTGTTGAGGCTAGCGTCAACAGAGCTGTTGAGGCTAACTGGCAAAGGATCAGGGAGATCCAAGAAGGACCTGATCGAGGGGCAGTACCACCACAGCCTGATCACTCACGTAGGGATCCGGATGTGGAGGAGGATCAGGTAGATGACGATTGGGGGCTTCCTAGAAGAGTTGTTGCGAGCATCTTGCGAGCAGCAACGATAAAACAACGTTGCAAGAGGGTGGTGAGGGGGATATGGACGCCGGCAGAACGCCTTAAAAGGTACGTCCGGTTGCCTAGGAATGCACCCGAGGGCAGTGTGCGAGTGCAACCAGAGGAGCTGGAGCGGATCAGAGGTGAGTATTCAAAGATCAACTAAACCAATTTTTAGTAGAATTTTTCAGAGAGTCAGTCAGTGTTCCGATAATGTTCTTTAGCGGACAATAGGTATCCCCTTGGCCAGTAAGCCGGTTCTTGAATCACGGTCACAATATTTCGAAGTCCCCACCATTCGACCCTCGCTTGAAGAAATACAGTACAGTTCATTTAACAGTGAAATGGATAACTCTAGGATGAACTAGGTTTAGTGTAAATCCGAGAGTTGACTGCTTCATGATTAAATAAGTTTAGTAAATAAGAATGGGTCTTTCCGGCCATTATAAAGGTGATTCGAGGGCCATTTTACCAGCCAGGGAGAGGGAGCCCTCGGGTACACCGACCAATGTTATCTAAATTCTGGATTCACCTTTGGATTGAGAGTTGATTTGATATAAACATTTGTCGCGATATCGCAATAATTTTGATCTGCTTTTTATTATTTCAGGTCTTTTGGTCCAATCCTTGGAGTTGCAACCACTAAGTCGGCGTAATTGCCCCAGCACATGGCGTTTGTCGGTTTCAACATGGTGTGGGGAGACATTTCATGATATCCGAAAAAAGTATAAGCAACGGGGGGAGTTCCCCATCGACGATGAGGATAGTGAAGAAGAAAGGCAGGAAACTGATGAAGCCAGCAGTGAGGAAGAACCCGTGGGGCGGAGGGAGGATGATGAAAATTAGTTTCATCATTATTTATAATTTAAATATATCTTTTGTGTGGGAGTAATGAGAAGAAGGGCGTGAGGGAGGCCGAGGGGGAGGAAGACACTTCGGAAGAGCAGGAGCAGGAGATTGAACTGGAGATGGATCAGGAGCAGTATGAGATCGAGGGAGAACTTGGTGAGGAGGAGTTCGAGGAGGGCGAGGAGTTTGATACTGGAGAGCAGATTGTCAAGTTTGAGGCTCAAGAGATTGAAGGGAAGTATGCGCAGGAGTACCAGCAGGAGTACGAGGAGACCTCCAGGGAGGCTTCGGAGGCTGCTGACGTTATTATGAGCATGGAGGACACTACTGAGAATATTGAGGGGGCTGAGATGATTACGGATGAGATCTCACCAATGAGTAACTTGAAGAGTATTATTATTATTAGTATTATCAGTATTATTTCTTGTGAGAAATTTCATTTTCTTAAAAAAGTGATTTTGATTTTTTCCTTTAAAAGCACTCATTATGGAGATAATTCAATGTTTAATAAGATATGTTAATTTGAATTGTTCATACTTCCATACTGAAATAATATATGACTAAATCTAATCTATGGCTGTGTATAGAATTATGAAAAGTCTAAGGGAACAACTGTACATAAAACAAGTTTTTTCCACTCGGATTTGGTAATATAAAACAACAAAATCCAGTGGAAAAAGCTCAGAAAATTTGTTCCCAATAATAATTCTAATAGAAAACATCTCAAGAAAAAAATTCGAACAGAAATTCAAAATATATTGACTTTGGGGTGTTCTGTTGGCACTCGCGTTGGTCAAAGGATGGGTCGAAGGTATGATCCATTACAGTTCAACAACAACTTCCTGGACAATTCCTTCATTCCTGTTTATGAAAAAAATGGTAAGCCCTCAAAATTTCCTCCAAATAACTGGACAACTCTATGCTTAATCAGACTCAAGTTATATAAAGATACCTTGACATTTTTCCAGGTAACATCGTTGATTCCACAAAGAAAAATCAAGATCTTTTCACAAGTATCATGTTGCAGAGGCAATGGTATTTACAAAATAACCAGTGGTAAGTTATATAAAGATGTATCGATTGTAAAAATCGCTCCATTTGTCTAGGCGATATCATTGGATAATATCTTACCACATACGTACATATTCACACGCATACGAACATGTCCTCTAAAACGTATCAAGATGATTTTAGCGGTCATGGAACGTAAATAAATCACAGAAATTCCAATTTTCATTTTCGGAGTCATTACATAAACTTCTTTCCCTTGCATCGTGAAATCAATCTGTCACTAATAACTTCAAACTGAAAAAATAGCCTACCATAAACGGTATAATTTTTTTCATATGTTCAAAAATGATATCAGAAAATGAAAAATTCACATACTCCTTCGCAAATATCTCGAAGAGAGAAATCTCACATGTTACGTTACATTCAGCTCCAAGACCCATTCAGAGTACTGTGATTCTATCCATTAATAGCAGCTTTAGTGAAAAGACACATGAGTCCCGGGTTTTCCAAGCACAATGTTTCCAAATACGGTTCCAGCACTACTTTTTCTTTATGTTTTAGAACAAAAGTCCAAACTTTTTCCACCAGGTTTTGAGCATTATGTATAGTCGCAAAATTAAGCATTTGTAATGCATTAGATATTGTCAGATGCCGGAACAATTTCCGTTCACACAAGGTCTTCAATTTCTCCATGTTATATTTCTCGGCAACAATCAACATTTTCATAGCCATATCCACGTCGTTCAGAGCTTGATCGCTACCAGTATACAGATATGATAAAACATTTTTCATGACATCAAGTTTGACATCTGAAATCACGACTTCATTATTCGTTCCTTCTTTCATTTCACTCTCGAACATACTTAAAAATACCGGACTATGCGCCGCGAGAATGACTTTATGCACAGGCAATTCTTCTCCACTAATGATGATTCTGGCATCACTAAATGTTGATTGTAGTAGGAAGGGTTGAAACTCGTTATTGGAAAAAGATGTCGAAGATGATGGTAACGCTGGGGTTGCTATTGCATCAATGTACTTGATCTTGCAAGTTGCAACAAATGAAAGGTCGCGTCTAATTTCTAGATCTTCGAAGTCGCAAGCATCCGTCCAACGGAATGATTCCTTTTCAATTGTTATATCATCAAAGCTAATAGAAGCGGTGCAGGGAATTACAATAGATATATCAGCCATAATTTCGACGGTAACGGCTTTTCGAATTGATAAGCTCAATTTTCTTCTTGACGGATCATTCGCAGAAGAGCCTAAACGCACCCAAATAGTAACATTATTGCGATCTTTCAATGGCAAACTTGCTATTTGACGCCATTCTCTGTACGTATTTTGCTGATCCGGAACACGGAAATGGTACCACTCCTCCATCACTCGTTCAAATTTGATAATGAGACTCGCACGTCAAAATTCGCCTTTACTCAAGATTGTGGGGAATCTGAAAATAGGAATTCATCAATTTGAATATTGGAAAACTTAATATTGTAGTCAAAATGCGCCGCTGCACAGCCATTGGAAGTTAGGATAAGCAATGTGAGTGTGGATACCGAGGTATTCATATGCATTACAAAACCATTCTATTACATTACATTCCCTGGGATGCAAGCAGCCACTTAAGTTAGGTGGCTGTTAGGTGGCTGTTAGGTGGCCACTTGTTTTGGTGTAAAAAAGGGTAAGTGATACCTGAAACGATTATGGATGTAAATCTATGAATTATTAAGGAATTTTAGTAGCTTTAATGACATTAATCTCCATTAATTAAGGAAAATAACAGTTTGCGTATTGAAAGGGAAAATAAATCAGTAGGGGGAACGCCGCCGGATGGCGGCAGTGTCGACTTCTCGCCCAGGCCGATAAAGTCGGCAGCAGTGGCGGGAGAAAATTGATTATCCAATAGGTTCATATTGGCATTTTTTTAAAT